AAAAAAAAAAAAAAAAAAAAAAAAAAAAAAAAAAAAAAAAAAAAAAAGAAAAGAAAAAGTCTGTGTAACCCCCGTTTCTTTGAGCAAGCTTTGCATCAGCTGGAGGGGAGCTCTGCCACTTCCACAGCCCTGCCTGCCGTGGATCTGCATCCCTCCTGGTGTGAGCCCCTGGGGGGGCAGAGGCACCTCCCGACCATCCGCGGGCACGTTCCTGGGGGGGTTAGCCATGTAGCGGTGATAATTATTGCATTTTTGAGAGTTAGATATTGACAAATGCTTATGTTCTGCTATAAAAACTGAAAGAGGATCCTATATAAAACCTGATCAAAACACACGCACACACAAAAGGCAACACCCCCCCCGAGGAAGCCAACAAACAAAACCTACATATTTTCTTGGTGTGGAACGAAATCTGCAACTCGGAAAAGGCAGGACTGAGCAGCGCTTGGAGCCGCGCTCCCCAGCCCCTCGGGGACGCAGCCCCGGGCAGCGGCAGCGGCCGCAGCAGAGCCCGCAGAGCCCGGGGGAGGGAGGGCGGCGGCCGAGCATCCCCCGCGCCGGCCCTTACGGGGGGCCTCATCCCTCGGGGCACCCCGAGCCGGGGGGCTGCGGCCCCGCGGGGGTCCGGAGCGGTGCCGGGGGCGGCGTCCAGCCCCGCAGCCCCGCGCCCGGGCGGTCAGAGGCGGCGCGGCGGGTGCTCCGCAGCCCAGCGAGAGTTAACGGCGGCGCCGCCTCTCCATTGGCGGCCCCGCAGCGGCTGCGGGAGCCCGCGCTTATAACGCGCCGCGTCCGCCCCGCTCCGCGGCCCGGGCTCCATGCGGCGGCCGCCGGCATGCCCGGCCTGCCCAGCCTGCTGCCGCCGCTGCTCGCCCTGCTCTGCCTGGGGGCGCGGGGGGCCGACCGCGACCCCGAGCGCGACCCCGAGCCCGACGAGCCGTGGTGCCCCTACAAGGTGGGCGCGGATGGCGCGGAGGGGGCGCGGCTGTGCTTCCGCCCGCCGGCCCGCGGCTTCCAGTGCGCGGCCCGCGGGTGCCGCGCCCACCGCTCCGCGGGCGGCGCGCTGGTGGCCAACGTGCTGCGGAACGGCAGCGTGCTGCTGCAGTGGGGGCTGCGGCACTGGGGGCCGCCTCGCCCGCCCGCCGCCGCCGCCCTGCGCGGCTTCGCGCTCAACTGCTCCTGGGACGGCACCTACACGCGCTTCCCCTGCGACAGCGTGGAGCTGGGCGCCGCATGTCGCGACTACCTGCTGCCCGAGGCGCACGGCAGCGTGCGGTACCGCCTGTGCCTGCGCCCGCGCTACGCCCCGCCGCGCCCCGCGCCGCCCGCGCAGTGCGTGGAGTTCCGCGTGGAGCCCGCGGCCATGCGGGACATCGTCGTGGCCATGACGGCCGTGGGGGGATCCATCTGCGTGATGCTCGTCTTCATCTGCCTGCTCGTGGCCTACATCACCGAGAACCTCATGAGCCCCGCGCTGGCCCGCGCCGCCGCCGCGGCTCCGCGCCGCGCGTAACGGGGGATGCTGCGACCCCTCCCTCCCCGTCCCGCTGCGCCGAGGCTCCCGGTTCTCCCGCGTTCCGGGAAGGGAAGAGGTTTTCCAGACTCTTCTCGCAGCCCTTCCCAAACTTCCAGGATTAGGGGTTCACCACGCCCGCCGCCGTCCTTCCAGCGCGTTCCGGAGAGGGAAGAGGTTTTCCAGACTGTTCTCGCAGCCGTGGGCTTGCCACTCCTAAACTTCGAGGATTTGGGTTTCCCTCGGTGCTTGGAGCTCTTCTTCCTCCTAGGCTGGCTTTTCAACCAGAGCTGTGCGTGGTTACTGAACTCATGGGATCTCAGCGGATTAAAAAACAATGGCAGAGGTCCACAAGTGCCAGAAATTGTCTGTTTTTAAGGGCAAGCGGCAGATCTTACAAGGGCCTGTTTGAGAAGACTCTCCAGAAACCCCTTATTTTAAACTTATGCCTAAACCCTCCTGCTCTTAGGCCTGTGCTAGATTTTTTTCCTCTGGGCGAAAGTTGTTTGAGGTTCAGGAGAACAGACCGCTGGAACCACCAACCCCGTAGCTAAGTGTGTGTTTGATCCAAGGCCCACTTAAATCTCGTGACTTAAGTGGGTTTTGTATCCCACCTTACGCTGGTCACAAATTTTTGGGGCCCATCCAAAGCAAAATGGGGGTTTCTGGTCAGCTCGAGCGAGCATCAACATCTGACACCCGCTTTTCTCCCATTAGAACTGTCATCTTGGTAGTTCCACAAAGAGCGATGGCAAAGGGACAAATTGAGTTTGAAAACTCCATTTTGTCGAGCAAGTACGAACCAATCCTTAATTATAAAATAAGTACAGTGTAGGTGAGCACCGTCCCTCCCTCTGAAATCCCCTCTTTTAGCAATGCTGTGTGCAGCTACACTAAGGTAGACGCTTCTTGAACACAGAACTCACTAATGTAGCCAAGCGTTTTGAGCGTAGGAACACTCCTCATTAACTACTCACTCGATGCTGTAGTAAGTAAGGTTTTAGCCATACTCTAGTATTAATTCTATTGTGCCTTAGTGCTAAGAATTTGTCCCATTTTATTGGTATATCTGTTCCTGTAGTCCTCATAGACAAGTGTATCTCCCTCGTGGTCTTGTCTCTGAAACTGGTGGTTGTTGGTCTTGTCTGTTTGGTTGTTTGTTTTCTTAAGGAAAAACAAACTTGGGCTGATCATTACTTGAACTTTACTATAGATACACAAAATAGTTACCGTCAGGTATTTGTTTAGTGAGCTAGTTTTTAGTTCGTGTTGTTTGTATGTAGTCGACTGCTGTAACACAGAATTAATTTATATCACTTAGAAACTGAGCACCTAAAGCAAAAAAAAGTAGGGGAACGACTCTTCTGTAAAGGGGTGTTGCTGTTAAAACACGTCAGGTTCATGTGTGATCTGTTTGTGTAAATGTTTAGCACTGGTGAATGACCTGTTTGCTTTTCTTTGTGAAAGTAGTTTGTGAAGTATCAACTTGGTAGTAGAGGGTAAGTATAGACAGTATATGGAATCCTTAATAATACACAGTATTTGTACTGATCATAATCCCTTCAATAACTTGGGAGCGGCTGAGAAACTGAAGGTCTGTATTTCATCAGGCAGAAATACCTTTTATTTGTTTGTTATTCCTGCTTTGTTTTCTTTCTCACATGCAGCTGACTCAGTTGAAGTGTTCTCTGTTTATTACCTTGCCTGTATACTTGATTTTAGCAGCCTGGCAAAGAAAAGGCGATCAGTTTTTAAGAGTTTGGTCAAAGGTCTTTGAAGGTTTCAAGTCAGCCTTTCCTGTAGCCAGTTCTGCACAGGCCCGTGAGAGTGCCACTGATTTTGTACATCTCTGTCAGCTTCTGTCAACCAGTGTTACTGTTTTGTTCTTCATCTCGTCACGAATTGCCAGATGTGAAAATCAAACTGTAGGAACAATGAGCCTTGTACCACCTTGGCATTGAACTTAATAAATTGAGAGAATAATGAAAAGAAATGAAGACTTCATAAATATTTAATGGTTCAAGATCTTGTTTGACTGAAAGTGGGAAAATCTGCCCAAACATTGGTCATAATGGTATTCCGTGGCCTACTGTAAAATTATGACAACATTAAGGTATGCAACAGCATGCTGGGCAGAGGGTAGACAAGACCAAAATATGTAGAACAAGAATATAAATCCTGATAGAAGAAAATATCTAATTCTCTAAAGGCTTATTTTTAATTTTTTTTTTTTCCTTTCCGTGCATTATAAATGAGATGTGGAGAACAATGTCTCAGTTTCTCATTCATTTTCAGCGGGGTAAGTTTTAATTAAACACATCTTGGTGTATGGAAACAAAAATCAGGGTATTCCCTGCTTCATTTTATGTGACATCAAGCAAAACATCTGCTGACCCCTGATAACTGTGGGGTTTTTCCTCCCACACACCATACACGTACCGTACGTGTGGTACGTTCTTAGGTGTTACATTATCCTGCATTTATCCACTAATATCCAGTACAAATATCAGGCCATACCCATTTCTGCAGGAGTTAAAATGGAGAATCACATGCTCATTAACAACCTTTTTTTTTCCTTGCCTTGTGCTAAATGTGAGGAAAGCTACTGCTTAAATATGAGCAGCTCAAAGCCCAGCCTGACCCCGGCTTTGAATCTTCTGGAGGAAACAGTCTGTGCCTCAGGCAAAGAATCTCTCTTAATTGCATTATGATATTTTTTGTGGTACATAAAAGGAAAGGCTGCTCGGCTTTATTTGGAGGTGCAAGTGAAAGCTGGTATTTTGCTTCCATGGAGACCTGGAGTTGTAGTCTTACAAGACAGCAAACTGCTGCTGTATTTCACCAGGATGTTCTGAAAGAAAGGCTGGGAAGAGTAGGCTGAAAGTAGAAAAAGTGGCAGATAACAGTGTCACATTCCTGTTAAAGGCTTGGAATTACAGCAGTGATGCTTGGACGGGGTCTTTGGCAGTTTTAAACTAAGCAAACACACCCTGACTGGCGTTACTTTATTGTAGCTCTGGTTGCTACATCTCCGATAATTCACTTAGCCTGGTATCCCAGAACCACCAGATGATTTTCAGGGTGCCTTTGCAGAGTAACAATTAAGAAAACAGTGGGCAGGGTTATTAGGAATGGCTGAGCAGACACCCAGAGGAAGAGGGGTTTGCAGGAAGGAAGCTCTGAGGGGACACGTTTAGGCTGGAAACGCTGGGTGACAAAACAGCTGTGTGAGAGGGAAGATCTGAGAAGGGAGCAGTTGAGGGGAGAAGGAAGGATTTCTTTGGGAAAGTCGAGAGAATAGTGACAACAGGGTTTTTTTTTAAATGGAAAATACTAGATGAAGGGTTTTACATGGATGTGCTGAGGGAGGACGAGGCTTTTGCACAAGGAGAGAGGAGAGCGGCGGGTTGTGGGAGCAGGTGATGAAGGTGCTGAAAGGTGGGAAAAGGCTCCACTGGAAGTGCTGAGGTGATAGTGCAGAAAAAATTCCTCAGAAAGCACAAAGGAAAACAATACCAATGGGAGGGCAGAACATATTTTTAGAAAGCACTGAGGAGAGAGAGTCCTGCCTTGCTGGTGAAGTTCAGGTGGGCTGGGGAATAGATTTGTTCTTTGATGTCCTGATTTATCATGTATTTCTCTTGCTCCCTGTTACCTGTTTCTGCCATTGAAACAGTGCAAGTAAACCAAGGTGGAAAAGCAGGGTGAGGTGGAAGGGGGAAAAGATGACAAAAGCCTCAGGGAAAAATGGAATTGGGCTGGGCTGAGCAAGGAGCGCCGTGATAATTTTGACCTGTCTGTGTGAAAACAATTCTGAAATCCGTGCCTTTTACAAGGCAGTGGGTACATAAATAACCCCTAGTTTTGGGCACTCTTATTTGTGCAGTTTTCAGCAAAAGCCCGAGCGTTTACTCCTAATTCCATGATTAATCGTAACAGCAAGCATGTGTCTGTATTATGTTCACTTCAGATGCCTCAGCACAGAGCGCTCTGGGCACAGCCATGGTGGGGGGATTATCCAGGGTGTCGGACCCAATTTTCTTCCTCGGGATGACTCAATTCTCCATCCGAACGCTTCCCCTCGGGATCTTTCCATGTCCCCAGCCCAGCTGCCCCACTGCTGACATTTGGCTGCCACCTAGTGCCGAGACAGAAAACTATCCAAACCCTCTGCTTTTTCTGGCGAGTGGGTGTTTTTAATTTCACAGCCCAAGGAGCCAGCAAGATTGAGGAATTCATGACCCACAAGGACCATCAGTCCAACCCCTGGCCCTGCACAGACATCCCAACAATCCCACCCTGTCCCTTGAGGGTGTTGTCCAAACGCTCCTTGAGCTGTGGCAGCCTTGGGGCCGTGACCAAACCCTGACGACCCTCTGGGGGAAGAACCTTTTCTGCTGATATCCAACCTGATCCTCCCCTGGCACAGCTTCAGGGCATTCCCTCGGATCGCCAGGGAGATCAGTGCCTGCCCCTTCCACTTCCCCTCAGGAAGGAGCCGCAGGCTGCGATGGGGTCTCCCCTCAACCTCCATTTCTCCAAGCCCAACAAACCCGAGTGCCCTCAGCCGCTCCTCACAGGGCATCCCCTCAAAACCCCTCGCCACCCTCTCTAACAGCTTAATGCCTTTTTTTTTTTTAATACACACTGGTTTTTTTAATACTCTTTATTGCCCCCCCCGCAAACCCTCACGCACAAGTATGTTCAAGGCCGGCAGAGCAGGGGAGGGACTACCCCGTCCCTCCATGTCGCGCCTGAGGGACACGGTGGAGACCCACATATAAAACTTGCCAGGGATTGGGACCCCTAATTCCTGGCAGCGTCCCCCCAACATCCCCACAGCCGCGGGGCCCCGAGCGCGGGCGGGCGACGGGGAGGCGGAGCGGCGGCCGCCGCTCCGCCTCCCCGCCGCCCGCCCCCGCTCGGGGCCCCGCGGCCCGGCCCTGCTGACACGTCCCGTCCCCGCCCGCCGCGCTGCGCCGCCATTTTGTGCGAGCCGC